TGTGTGTATGTGTGTGTGTGTGTGTGTGCGTGCGTGCGTGCACGCGCGCGCCCTTCAAAGACTGCATGCGGATTTTCAGAGGGATGTTGGGCCCCTAAAAAAAAAAAAAAAGGAAGTCATTTGTTTCTGGAGTTTGTTTTCACACATGCAGTGTCTTTGTTGAATTTGCTTTTGTTTATTATTTTCTGGACGCACATTAGTTTTCAAAGTAAACACACACAACATTTTGCTTCTGGTTTTATTTGTGACTCCATGTTATTTTTACCTCCAGTGGTCATAAAAACAGAAGGCATACGTGAGAAACATAATTGCAAAATGTATATATCCTTCAAACAATAACTGCATAAACTAAACTTTAGACTTTAATGAAAATGTTTAACTTTTTTTGGTGTCAAAATGATGATTCTGAAACTGAGACCTCATGGGTTAAATTCATTTTTCTGTTTGCATCCTTCTCTGTCAGGGAATAGCTACTTCCTCCTGATTTACCCATCATTTACATGTTATTCTAATTAGTATCTCTGAGAATTCCCCTTCTGTTAATGTGTGACAGCAAGCTTCATAAAAACAGCTGTGAACCCACACAGAAGTTCAGCTCCCATAACTCAATTCAATCAGACCAAAAACCCAAATAGTAAAATGAAGGTATGTTTCCTTAAGACTTTTTAAAGCTACAGCACAAAATATACTTCATCCTCTATTAAGAAGCCAAACACAAATGTGGGACCTGCTTTTGTAACAAAGTGCTGACATTTTGATGTAAAATAATTTTCTATACAGAAAACAGTGAAATGGGTTAAGAAAAAAAAATGTCAACCAGGAATCATGGAAAGTCCAATTTTCTACCTTTTAAGCTTCAAATGACGATGACCCAAAGGGGATTGAAGGACCCGCTTAAAGGTGATTGAACTACACTGATTCATCGAAATCCTCTGCCTGTGTTGGTSGAATCTTTTTCTTTTTCTCTAAATCTTCCAACGTTTTGCTACCACCATTGGTTGCTGTGAGCTGTAAGGTTAAATCCTCCTGTGGCAGCGTGGTAGACACCCTGAGCGGGAGGCTAACAAGCTGAAGCTGATCTTGTTGGCTCGGCTAGGACTCCAAAGGCTGATAGGTATTAGGGTATTGGTGGGCTGCAGCCCTGGCTGATAAGTCAAAAGCTTGCAGAGTTTGGTGAGGGCTTGGATATTGACTCTTGATCAGCTTCAAGGAGATTCTGGCGAACCATCACAGGCCTGAGGTGGAGAAAACAGCACTTATGTTGACATAAACCAGTGATATTGTCAGGCTTTGGCAGGAATACCTCTCAGACCTTCTCAGTCCCATCAGTATCTTTAGTGGAGGAAGCTGAGTCGGGACTTGGGGGTTGGTACATCAAAAACCAGAGCATGTCTTTGAGAGTGGACATGGTCTGAAATGAGTTCCTCTTTGGAAATGTTTTGGTTGACACTCCTTTTCAGCACTGCATGGACGTTGGGGTCTTCTTTTGTTGTTTCAAGTAATCTTTAAATGGAAGTTCTTTATCCCTTCTATTGTTTCCACTTCCTGTTTGTTTTCTGACAGTTTGATGGTGGAAAAACTGCTTGGACTCGCCTCAGCTGACATTTGGCAACAACAGGTGTTGTAAAGTTTGCATGTTGCATAAATGCCTGGAAGCATTCACTTTTTACTTCAGACTCCTTTGCATGCTTAGAATCACAACCTGCCCGCCCCTAATCATGTTTTCTAATGTCTGAATGATCAAATGTTAAAGGAAACAATTTGGCGATAACGTGAGGGATTTTCTTGTTTTCTATTTCTAAGAAACAGCTAAGGGAATTGCTTTAAATGGAGTAAATCCATGATTTTTGTCAAGATTAAAACCCACAAACGAAAGGGTTAGAAGAGCAGAAACACAAGTGAGAAAAGCACAAAGCAGCTGAACTTGCTGAAGGTGTGGAAAACAAATGGAAGTGAACAGAACTTTAAATAAAATGCATYGTTCAGAGCTGGAACAGGAGAATTATATGAAAACAAACTAAAACAAAAGGATCAGACCAATTTGCTTCACGTGCAAATACGGTTTGTAAAATCTATGTGTTGGATTTCCATCTTTCTAAATCCTATCTCATTTTAACAAATAAAAAAAGTCTAAGCACAGTTAAGTAAGTCCTCTGTCCAAGTTCTGCTTTGTTAAAAGAAGAGACAAAACGTTATTTAGATTTTCTACTGAGATGCATCAGGACAAAAAAAGTTATTTCTCGTATTTGTTTTGTGGAGCTTTACAGTAAAACACAAAGAGAAGTTAATATTGAATACAGAAGTACAGAAGAAGAAGTTAAGTAAAAAAGATCAGCCTTCGAGGCAYAAAGACAACCAGATTTTTATTTGTTGTTTGACTTTTACATTATATTGTATAGCCTAAAAAGGCCATAAACAATCAGGTTAGGAACGATTTAAAGGGATGGTGGTTCAGATCTTTTGAAGTGGAGTTCTGCCTAAAGGTTATGAAGAGTTAATATCTTACCTGTTTTAAGTTTAACTCTGACGAGGTTGATGAGCTAACAGATAGTCTGAACAGGAAACAAAAACAAAGATCTGATGATGATGTCTCAGAATAAAAGGTTTAAAATTGTGACAGAGCAACAAGGTTTCAAACACGACAGTGATTGCATGTTTYTGTGTTTAAATCCTGTAAAGCAAAAGACAATATGGAGATCTGTATTGTCTGATGAAACTAAATTCTACCCCCATTACAGATGTCAGTCCTAAAAACACAGTTTTATGAATGATGGCTGGATGAAGCAGGTGATGGGTGAACATATGGAGGGTCTCAGTCATGTGAGTGTTGCTCCGGTCTGCAAGCTGAAGGAGCTGAGAGTGAAAACCCAAAGGCTCTTGTTCAGTCAGCAGTGCTGTGCCTCCACCACCTGGTAAACAGACAGGAGCACAGCCTGCAGGCAGAACCGCGGATCACTTCCTTCTACCAACACAAGATGGCGCTGTTATTTTTACATGCAACAGGTCTGAAAAYCCTGCTCTGCCAGGGAAGTTTCAGCAACAATTATTATTAAAAAAAAAAAGAACACTGAAGTGGATTTATATCTCAGCTGACTCAGATCTGTAAAAGGTTTTCACCTTTTCACAACCTGTTTAAAATTTTTTAGCAACCATTTAATTTGTTAGATGGTTTATTTTTATTTATTTATTTGACCTTTATTAAGTTGAGAACACATTCTCAGTGGCTGCTACAACGTTTTTGCCCCCGTTAGTAAAATATCTTAKAACCACTGAATGGATTTTAATACAACGTGCACAAAGTAAAAATTTGGGGAACATCTACAACTGATTAACCTAAAGGTGATTGATGTAGCCAAATTATATATATACAGTATATATATATACAGTATATATATAAT